GGTCGAATATGATAGGGCGAATTGCATGAAAAACATCTTTTTGGTATAGTGCAATCCCTCGATAAATGACCTGCCTCGCCGCATCGATAACATCTCTTTGGATCAGGTTGATGATTTCCGTGAGGCACTTGTTGACATCAGGGACAGGCTCTAGCAGATGATTGTTGAGGAGGGAGATTATTTGTTTTTATGAATTTTGGTCTTCGGAAACTAGCTGAAAACCCCTCCCATCTTCGTTTCTCCACTACTCTTTCTCTTCACCTTGCCGATTCTTGTTTCTTTCTTTTACCTCGGCAACATTTACAGCTAGAGAAAAGGTAGCAGGATCCATAGCAATTACATATTCTCTTATGGAGGGTTTCAAATCCCAAATATACCTTTCTACTTTTCTGGATTCAAAGAAACGTAATGCTCTGCGAATCGGGAATATTCAATAAACTTCTTAGTATAATCCCGCACATACCTGTTACCTTGTTCTAACTTCAAGAAATCTTCTTCCATCTGCCTCACTGCAGTCTAATGACAGAATTGGTTTTTGAATCTAATTACAAATTCCTCCCAAGACATAGTTTGCAGAATATTTGGCCGAGCCGAGGATTCTACATCCTACCAGTATAAAGCGTTAAATTTTAACATGGAAACTGCAAATCTAACCTTATCCTCCTCAGAACATCTACTGGTGTTAAATACTAATTTGATTTCCTTAATCCAGCACATTGCCTTCATTGGATCTCTTTCTCCTGAAAACATTGGGGGTTTGCATGTTATAAACATTTTTATATTTCCCCTTCTATTACTGCTTGAAGATGGAGCTGGAGGATTCATTCCAACTCGCTCAGTTTCTACTATGGCTGGTAATCGCATGATAGATACCAAAGTTTCTCTTAATTTACCCATTTCCTCAGCCAGAACATCCCTAGTTATATATTATGGTTGAGACCCATGCTCCTGATTAACATATCCTGAAATGGATTCTCCTTGATCGGGATGAACCTCAGTTTGACTTTTTTCTTGAGTCTGACTCTTCACTCGACCTCTACCCTGGGTTCTTCCCCTGCCTCGACTTCCAGAAATATTGGTTGGGGCATTACCATGAGATTCCTCTCTTTCTTCAGGATTGGGGTGGGCGATCCTTTCAGATCTTCTTGATTGACTAGCCATCTGCAAATATTTTAATTTTAAATATCACGTATTCACATTCCCAAATATAATAAGGTGTTTGAATATAGATATGTACCTGTAAGTTCATAATTACATTGGTCATTTGTAATTTGAATTTACCTTACATATTGTCCTCTTTAACACATTATATTTATTCCTAGTGATACTATCTATGTCCGGGACCCTTAATATGCAAATAACAGTTTAAGTCTAGGCATCATGCTTTGAATACCTAAATCTCTTAAACTCAGGCTCTGATACCACTTTTTGTTGCACCCCAAACTTCATATTTGCATATAACATACATTTCATATAAAAGAAATATAAATTACACCATATAGGTCCCACTAGTACAAGGATTATGTATGTACAAAATTTACATGTGAAAAATTCCAAAAGAATATCCCTACCCTATTACATGTATAACAACATGTATCTTCAAAATATTCAAGTATCAGGTTGATCTTCACAAAACAGATAACATATAAGGAAAATAATTATATTTTCCTCTTCCCTTATTATCCCGCAATCCCGCAGCTCCTACAATGCACTTTTTTAAAATACAAAATGAGGATTAGACCGAAAGGTCTAGTGAGTAAATCCCTTCTTTGCAAATGCAGGGTGAAAAATCACCAAAACCTGATAAAACAACTTTTATGTAGAGATAAATGTATTTTAGTGAAAACATGCAATCTGTTGATATTCAAAATATAAAGCCAACAGGTTTCCACAATACATAGCATAAATGCAATATTTTAGAACTCTGGATCCCTTAACAAAGTTGTTATAAACTCTTCTAGCTCAAAGGGTCAGAGCCCCTTTAGCTCAATGGGCCAGAGTCTCTGCCCTTGATAACCAGAGCCTCTGCTATATTGACCAGAGCCTCTTCATCCAAATGAAACAATACCTAACCAGAGATTTTCTGGACCAAACAAAGTCTCTGGTCCAGAAAGAACCTACCTTAAATTTAGAAGATGGTAAACTAGAATTAGAGCTCCTCTGACTCTTAATTTTATTTAAAAATATTTTTTAAGAAAAGATAAATTTTAAAAGACAGAACTCTGATACAGAGCTCAGATACAGAGCTCGGGTACAGAGCTTCATATAATAAGAGAACTATTTTCAAGATACAGAACTTCTGTATGAAACATACAGAGCTTCTGGTTCATATGACTCCCAAAATACTTGAAAGTCTTTTCCCATAATCAGAGATCCTCTGGTCCTACTAAAAGACCAACCAGAGCCCCTTTGCATATGTTTATACTTGATAGAAAACTTAGACAAATAAAGCCTCTGTTGACAAATCATTTTCCCCTTCTCAATAACATCAAAATTATTATTTCTAAAGAGAACAATACCTCAAATCATCAAGTCACAAAGAAATGCTTATTTAGAATTATTGTATCTAATTAGTGACAATAACGAGAGTTATATAATAACCACACCTGAAATTGCCACCCTTATATCCATAGGTAGACATTTACTTGATATGCCACCCTTATTTCTTCTTTAAAACAGGGTTCCTTACCAGATAAGACTTGCATCACCACATCTGGAAGTACGCAACACCCAGTTCCAAGCCATAACAGACAATTGTCACCACGTCTGGGGGAACTACCTCTTAAAACAAATTTCATTTCAGAACAGACCTACGTCACCACGTCTGGAAGAAATATTTCCCAAAATATAGTTTCTTACCAGAACAGACTTATGTCACCACATCTGCATTTCCCAAAATATAGTTTCTTACGAGAACAGACTTATGTCACCACGCCTGGTAGAAACATTTCTTTTCCATTTCAAAAGATATAAAATATCCCTTTTTTCAATATAACAAATTTTAAACCCAAAAAAATGTTAATTGCAAAAAGTCTCATTCATCAAAAATCTCAAATTCATAACTAAATATAATAAGTTAATTCTCATCCGGACAACACTTAGCCGGACTCTCTATCCGGATGATACTTAACCAAAATGATTAAAGATCTCATAACCAAACGTTCCCCCCCCCCTCTCCGGACATCATAGTTTCCAGATACTAGTAAATCGGCCAAACAAGATCTTTAATCCGGGCAACACTCAGCCGGATATACCTATATCGAACAACAAGTGTCCGGGTACAAACTATCATCGGTCAACTTAGTGACCGGACTTGCCTTTACCAGACAACCCTGTGTGCGGACACAAATTCCATTAATTAGCCATAAATCACTATTCGGTCAATACAATGTCTAAAGAAATGCTTTATATGGCCAATGAAGATGAACAAGAACAGTTATAGCATGTTCAGTACATCATCCACTCAAAATTATAAACCAGTAATCCAATTATATGCAAAGGATGTTTTGTTAAACACTCACCTTTATTAGTTCAGATTTTGAAAGAAATAGCAACTCAAATAAGAAAGATCCAATTTTTTGTTTAGCAAATGCAAGTAAATCCCTCGTAACACTTTCTCGAATTTTCTTTCTAAAAGTGGCAAGAAGACTTGCCTCTTACCATACGTCTTCTATTTATACTTTTTCACAAATGGAAAGACACTTACCCATGCATAATCCCTCATGCATACATATGCATAATAAATCCATGTATACAGACATCACATGCAGGGCCGGCCCTGGGCCTAGGCCAAAGGGGCGACGGCCTAGGGCATCAAAAATCTGAAGGGCATCAAAAAAATTTAAGCCCAATGTATATACTAGGTTCAGTTTGTATTTGGGCCAAAAAAAATTATTACCGTTAGTCCATTCCACATTTCACTTACCGAGTTACCGGGCCTGGACTCCTGATATCCATCATCGAATTTCATGATTCATCCTCAATCGCTCGCTCTCGCCTCTCGCTCTCGCTCTCCGTTCTCGGCTCTCGCTCTCGCTCTCGCTCTCCGCTCTCGCTCTCGCTCTCCGCTCTCGCTCTCGCTCGACGCTCTCTCTCTCTCTGCCTCACTCAGCCTCAGTCACCGGTCGCTCAAGCCCCCATCGGCCATCGCCCTTTCTGCTCTCTCTTGTAGTCTTGTGATTGTGAGTATTGAGCCATTGACATTGAGGTTAGGGATTTAACAATTAAGTCTTTTAAGTTTTAACCTAGGTTATTAATTTATTTACTTTATTTTTGAAATTTTTAAAGTTGTTTGATTGGGAAACCTAATAATGAAAGTATGAAACTTTAGTGCTTAGAAGCTATGATTCTTTGATTATGGTTTGTTTCACTTGTTAAAACTAATGAAACCATAAAATTAGAATTGTTTGATGGGAAACTGATTGTTTTTATTTCACTGTTTTAAAGTTGTTTGATTGGGAAACTGATTGTTTTTGTTTCACTGTTTTATGGATGCTTATGTTTTCTTATTTATCAATTTGTACAGGTTGCTTAATAGTTCCACTTTCTTGGCAATTTCACAACACAAACCACGAAGTACCAAATCCAGGTGTTATCTTTCTATTCTTTATCTCGTATATTTGTTTAACAATTTTACTACTTAAGTTATGTTGCCTCGATCACAACCATCGGGTGCTCAAAATAGGAAAAGAAAGAAAAGGCAAGAAGAAATTGCTCAATCTTTGCAAGGATCTTTAAATAAGTTTATTGTTAAACAACCAAAAGCTTCTGAAAATGCTAATGATAAAAATGAAAATGTGTGTGATGCAAATGAAAATGCTAATGATAAAAATGAAAATGATTGTGATACAAATGTTTTTGATGCAAATGTTTGTGATACAAATGTTTGTGATGCAAATGAAAATGTTAGTGATGAAATTTTTTGTGCTTGTGATGATGCTTCTAGTGATATTCGTTTAAATATATTTGATCCAAGAATTTGGGATATGCTAAATTCTAAAATGAAAGATTTGCTTGTTGAAAAGGGGCCTATTAGGGAAACTAACATCAATTTCCCTAGAGATAATATAGGTAGACACTTCTATGATGAATTTTATGTTCGTAAGTTACGTAATGGTGATTGTCATGATAGAAAGTGGTTAGTTTATTCAAAAGAGCTAGATAAAGTCTTTTGTTTTTGTTGCAAACTTTTCAAAGAAGGTCGGTCAAAAAGCCAATTAGCAACTGTTGGATTAAGTGATTGGAAACATCTTGGTCAACGATTAAGCACTCATGAAAATAGCATTGAGCATATGACTAGCTTGGGAATTTGGTCCGAATTGCGATTGAGATTGAGTAAAAATGAAACACTTGATAAAGAGCTACAAGAGTTGATAAAAAAGGATACTGATCATTGGAAAGAAGTTTTGGTTAGAATAATTGATGTTGTTAAATGTCTAGCAAAGAATAATATAGCTTTYCGTGGGAAAAATGAAAGACTTTTTGAAGAATCTAATGGTAACTTCTTAGGCGTAATTGAAATGATTGCCGAGTTTGATCCGGTTATGAAACAACACTTTCACCGTATCAAAGAAAAAAAAACTCATTATCATTATCTTAGCCACAAGATTCAAAATGAATTGATTGACATGTTGGCATCTAATGTTAAGAGTGCAATCATTAAAAAGATCAAAGAGGCAAAATATTTTTCAGTTATTCTTGATTGTACTCCGGATGCAAGTCATCAAGAACAAATGACTTTGATTTTAAGATGTGTTGACGTGTCCRGCTCTCCTATACAAGTAGAAGAGTTCTTTTTAGAGTTTTTGGTGGTAGAAGATACATCTGGTTTAGGACTTTTTAATGTATTACAAGATGTTTTGAAATCACTTRATTTGGATATCAATTATGTGCGGGGACAAGGGTATGACAATGGCTCTAATATGTAAGGGAAACATCAAGGTGTGCAAAAAAGATTACTTGATATAAATCCTAGAGCCTTTTATATGCCATGTGGTTGTCATAGTCTTAATTTAGTTTTATGTGATATGGCAAATTCTTGTCACAAACCAAAAACCTTTTTTGGTACTTGTCAAACCATATACAATGTCTTTTCTAATTCTACAAAGAGATGGACTGTTTTATTAGAATATATTGATGATTTGACTTTGAAATCTTTATCTGCTACTCGATGRGAAAGTCATATTGAAAGTGTTAAAGCTATCAAAACTCAAGTTGGCCAAATTAGAGATGCTTTAGTACAATTGGCTCAAGTAAGTGAGGATGGAAGAGTGTGTAGGGAAGCCGAATCTTTGGTTAATGGTGAGCTTTCAAGTTTTGAGTTTATTGTAAGTTTGGTTATTTGGCATGAAATTCTGTATAGAATTAATTTAGTGAGCAAGAAGTTACAGTCTAAAGATATGCTTCTTGATGTTGCAATACAAAATCTAAAGGGATTAGTTGAATATTTTGAAAAATATAGGGAAAGTGGGTTTACATGTGCCATTCGTGAAGCTAAAGATATTGCAAGTAATATTGGAATTGAACCTGAGTTTGCTGTAAAACGTTTTTTCTCAAGGAAAAAACAATTTGATGAAATTCCAAATACGGAGAGAGAACAACAATCCGCTCAAGAGACATTTAGAACTGATTATTTTCTTGTTTTAGTTGATATGGCTCTTTTGCAGTTACGAACCAGATTTGAACAAATGCAAG